TTTCTGCTTCCTACTAAAATAAGAAGTGATAAGATATTTTTGCATCAGAAATAACTTCTCTTTCCAAAGTATTTCTAAAAATAAGTTTAATCATAAGAAAAGACCCCAGTAGAGTATAAGCCACTGGTCAAGAACATGGATCATGAGAACAATGGCATTTGGTTTGAGTTACTGAACCCTGTTTGGCAGTGAGGCGGTGGGCCTCACCTGCAAAATGAAGGCAATAAATGTACCTCTTTCAAGGAGGGCTGTGAGAGTTGAAGGAAATTGAAAAATGTACATCTACCTAATATATTTGTCTTGACAGAGTAGCTAGTACATAGCAAGTATTCAAAACATTTTGGCAATTTTCATTAATAACATTATTAACAAAAGTTCACAAGCTTCCAGGTTAACATTTTCTTATTTGGTACAGTTAGAAAACAAACTCGCCATTTTTACAATAACAACCTGGAGAAATGAAATACAAGGGCTACCATGTAATTCACACTACAGATTTGTGGGAAGCCTGGCATAGATGCTTGTGCCTCTTTCAAAGATTTCTCCAGTTGGTTGACCTGGGGCAAACTTAAAACCAGAAGAGTGGACTTACTGCGTTTTCCAGGGGAACTGCTGCATCCACGTTACGACCTCACTTTCTGTTCATCCAAGGGGTAGACGGAATGTGACAGTTTGCTTTCGAGAAGGAAGCACAATGAACATCTTGATATGTGTCACCAGTCTCTAATTGTCCCTCATTATTGTCTTGGTAAGCAATGTGATCTGTATTTCAAGGTAGAACAAGGAGGGGAGAAACAATTGGCATGCGTGTATAAACCTCAGCTCTTGGGTGGGAAAAATATAACTTTTATAAAACATTACAATAACTTTTTGTGTTTATAGTCTGCATATCACATTTTATATTAGGAAAGCTTTTAGTCATTGTCTCATCCAATGAGAAAATAGCTCATTTCCTTGAGCACTTGTCCACATTCTCTTGCCTGCATTTTGGTGTGACTCTTCTGCTTGGCCCAAGTGCCCATCTTACCTGCCAAGAGGTTCTTCATGGGATAGGGTGTGTCACGGGCATCCTGCAGCAACCATTTGGCCATAGGGGCCATAATGCTTACTTTCTGGATCCAGAATTTTAGGTTATAAGTAATAACTCCAAAAGATATAAGTAAAATCCCAAAGATATAAGAACATAAGTATAACTCCAACTCCAAAAGATATAAGTTAAAAAAAGAAAGAAAGAAAGAAACTCAGGGAAATTATGTTGCTGGGTATCTCAAAGAATCAAAGGCAAAGGGTGATACCAATATTCAAGAAGAGTCAAGATACAACAAGGTTTAAAGAAATCCTGGCAGCCAAGTAACACTTCAATACCAGAACACTGTTTCTCCATTTTGCTTCTGTGTGTACCTGATTGGTAGTTTCCTTCTACCAATTTTTTTCTCTACAGGTTGACTTTCTCCAAGGTCAGAAAGCATGATGACATAGATATCCTAGCTGTAGATCTTAGAATTTCAACCACAAGAAAAAGATTGACCGTTCTTTTTCCAGCTCCAAAGTCTTAGTGGAAAACTCTAAGTCTCATTTGGATCAGGTGAACTGGGGTGGTGACAGAATTTTTCTTAGTGAATGTCCAATCAATTGCTACCTACAGGCAGTATCATACTATATTTCATACACTGGTTCCAGTGGCTTTAAAAAAGTGAGCAGTTTTCTGCTGGTGGGAATGCAAACTAGTACAACCACTATGGAAAACTGGAGGTTCCTCAAACTGCTAAACATGGAGCTTCCCTACGACCCAGCAATCCCACTCCTAGGTATCTACCCAAAAGACACAAAAACACTGATTGATACCTGTACCTCCATGTTTATTGCTGCTTTAATTACAATTGGAAAAACATGGAAGCAGCCCAAATGCCCAAAAGTAGATGCCTAGATAAAAAAGATGTGGTACATACATGCAATGGAATATTACTCAGCAACCAAAAAAGAGAAACACATGTCTTTTGCAGCAACTTGGATGGAGCTGGAAAAGATCATGCTTAGTGAGATAAGCCAGAAAGAGAAAGAAAAATACCAGATGGTTTCATTCATAGCAGGAGTATAATGGACCAGGCAAGAAAATTACAAAAATAATGAACAACCATATACCAGAGACATTTTGTGGGGTGGAGTGGGGAATGGGATCAAAAATGGGGGGGGCACGGGATTATGGTGATGGCACACAGGTGACTTGGGGATGGGAAACCCGTGGGGATTACAATCGAGATGGAAAAGAAATGTACAAAATGATGTAAAAATAAACTTTTGTAATAAAAAATATATATTTTTTATCTGTCCAAAAAAAAAAAAGTGAGCAGTTCTCAGCTGAAGAGGTGGCAGCCTGACCATGCCACGGATACCTACTACTGCAGGAAGAACTTTGAACACAACGCCGATATGTCAATAGTCCTCATTTTCCACTGTTAGAAATTTCAAGATGGTGGAATGACTGGAGGCAAGGGGATGGGAGTTGGATGCTTGCAAATGAAAAGAACCATCAGAGGGAAGAGAAGGAGGGCACTTCAAGGAAGCATTGCCAACATGAAGCAGAGGACTATGGACCTTCCAGCTTTTTCAGATTAAACCCTATGGTTTCCCAGCTGCCTCTCTCCCCTCCTGCCTTACACCTCTTTTTAATAGTTTCTCCTATCATGTTTGAAATGAAGAACTTCTGTGTTATTTATAAGACTTCTATCCTTGTCCATAAAAGCACTGTGCTACTTTAGGAAAGAGTTTGAAGTAAGACAGTTGGTCTCTTCAGAAAAGTGCCTTCTCACATCCCCTTCTTTTTGTCTTAGAATAACAAATGCTTAGGGTTGGAATAGACCAATCTCAAAAAACATCAAGTCCATCCATTGCTGGGCACATTCCACCTCTCAATAAGTCACATGGCAAGCAGTCTACTAGTTGGCTGATCACATGCCATACAGGGAAACATACTGCTTTCCTGGAAAGCCTTTTCTAACTCTTGATAGTTCTGACTAGTAAAAGTATTTGCTTGTATTAAGCCCCTACTGGGCCAAAAATATGTCTTTCTTTGTTGCAGCTCTCTGATGTTCTTAGTTCTACCATGTGGAAACAGAAAAGTCTGATCTCTTTCCTAAATGTCTGCCTTTCAAGGGCTCCTCATGTTGAACATATCTCTCCCTTGTGATCTTTCTTCTCCAGGCCAAGCAGTTGTTCTTCCTTTAACTATTCTCTGTTGAATGGCATTTCAAATATCTCTATTTAACTGAACACTCTGCTCTAAAGCCTTTGCTTGCTTAAAAGTTCTTAATCTCCCCCTGCCCCTAACAATCAAGCATAATTTTCCTTTTGTGGAAATATCAGCACAGAAAGAGTAGAACTAATAATAACATCTCTCATTATATAGAACTTATATTCAGGAGCATCACATTAATCTTTTGGAATGACCCAACCCCAATCTATGCTTAGTCACTCTCAAGGTGACTAATTGTCAATTACATTTCAACTAATTTATAACGAAATTTAAATTATACAAAAGTTACGGTATTTAAATTTTAAAAGTCTCTAAAGGGAAAAAGCACTTATGTGAGAATGTCAGGCATCAGCAGTTGATATCGGACTGGAAGGTGGTATGGGAGTGAGGAATTCATGAATCCCATTCTTCAAATCACATGTCTGCTTTACTTCCTATTCATAATGCTAGCACCATCCATGAAGTCAACAATAGTTGGCAGAGAACCCGTATCAGGGGATCATTTGATTCTTTTCTCTTCATGAAATCCATATGCTTAATAAATATGTGTGCCCTGGTATCTCTCTCTCTCAAGCACCCTAACACAACCAAACCTCAAGGAGTTACCTACTGACAGTTTAGAAGCTGTAAGACAAAACCTTTGCTCTCCTTAGAAGAGGTTCTAGGTAATTCAAAAAGCAAAAGATCCCCATGTTGAGTTGGGTGGCATAGTAGCTTAGTCCAAATAGACTCTTAACTTTCTTGCTCCAAAGGCACAACTAGAAGCAAAACCCAATTTATGGGAATTATAGTGAAACTCTAAGGGTCAGTGAAGCTCCAGCCTATATAATAAATAAGCTCCCTAATATAGGGACCCATTAAACCCTGCTCTTACCTGTAACCTCTTTTGTGTTCACCAGGAAAACTGATTAACTTAAAAAATAACAGAATACTATATACTGTGCATACATTTTTAGCTTTAAAAAATATCTACATTCTAGGAAAGACATATTTTTAACGTTAAAATCTAATAAGGAATTGATGATTTTTACTTCTAAAAAAATCTTAACATAAGCATTCATTTATCTTTTGTTTGTCTGTTTTAAAATCATCTAAATATGTGAAAAGGAGTCCCTCAACATTGGCAACAAGAGCTGACCCAGGCTTTGTGAAATGACACATCAGCAAGGGATTTTGATATTTCTTCTGCCGGCATCATAATGCCCCTGTAATCAGCACTTCCTTATCTTCTTCAGTCAAGGAAATTTGAATTTTTTTTTAATTATGCTTAATTAAATGCAGGTCTGGGGGCCCAAGTTCCATAGCCATACAATGTTAATTCCCTAAAATTAAGTGTTTCATTACCTGGTTAGCTTCTGAGAGTTTTCGTCTACTGGGTTCAAGTATAATCCTATCTTAATTTGGTTATCACGAGGGAAGAAATGCAAGACTACAGACAACTTGACACTACCTACTACACAAACAAGGAAGAAGGGCTCACTTCCTCTTCGATTGCAAGTCAGGTTGTTTAGCAACTTGCTAAGGCATTCTAGTTATGGTGCATTTCTTCTTCTCATCATCATAGTGTCAATAAACATAGGGTTTATTCTCAGTGCTTTAGAAGAAAAATAGAAGAGGTCTTCAGACTGGTATACTACCTTGAGTAATTGGGAGTACTTTAAGATTTGTGGCTTTATTCATCAACAAAGGCAAAATTATTTTTTCCCTAAACCTTTCACTTATGTGAAATATTTTGTTTCTCCAATAGGTTGTTTGGTTTTTACAAGGGAATCCTGCCACCCATCTTGGCTGAAACACCAAAAAGGGCAGTCAAGGTAAGCGTTCCCATCAAGTAAAAACAGACTATAGCAACAGTGGTATCATTAAAACATTTCACAATAGGCCCTCCCTGGTGGCGCAGTGGGTTAAAGCACAGCACTAAGAAGCTAAAGCCACTTCCGCATGAGTTTGATCCCCGCCAGCCCCAGAGGTGACCACATGGCGTGGCAGACCTATTCTGACCCGCCTGCTGCTCCCCTCAGCAGTGTACTTCGTCGATCTTCCTGTTCCCCGCTCTGCCTGATCCCTGCTCTGTCTCTGATGAATCCTCTCACCCTCCGCATCTCTGGCCTGTACCCCGGTTCTGTATAAATAAATAAATCTTAAAAAAAAATTAAAAAATTAAATTTAAAAAAAAATTCACAATAAACTATAAGAGATTAATGTGAATTAAACATAAAAACTCTTAATTCTAATGCAAAAAAAATGTAGCCTAACTGTTATTATAACTAGACATGGCAAATCACTCCAACATTGGTTCAAAGCTTTTCATTTTAGATAAAAGCACTTCCTTTTAATGGGAAAATTATACAGAAATGTACAGTAGTGAATGAAATTCACATAATCAAGCCATGGCAGCAATGTGGTTTTTCACAAAAACATTGGACTTGTTCTCAAGGCGATTCATTTTCCTTTGGCGCAATAATTATTAAAGAAAGAAAGAGGGAAGAGGAGAGACAGAAAATCTTTCTCCCTATATAATTCTCATTATAAGAACAGAACAATCCAATATATTGTATTTTTTTTTATATATGATTTTCATACAACACATTTATTTGGCATGATAACATCACCCCCATCTTTTTTACTAAAATTCTCTGTCTGGTTTTCACAAAATTATTGCTTCCAATACCCTAATTTCCATCTCTTTAACCACATAAATATGGATGGTTATGTGCTACTTCCAGGTTCGGTATGTGAATAGGATCTGGCAAGATCTCCAGGGGAGACAGAACTAAGATCATTCTTTTATATGTTCTCTCAGACAAAACTCTGAACACAGTGACTCTGCCTGGCATTGCTGTGCCCTACCCCACTGGCATCAACCATAAATGGCTTTGTCTTTCCACTATAAGGTTAACATAAACTTGGTCTAAAATACTTCCTTTTCAATAATTACATAAAGTTTTTTTGACATGCATTACTCAATTTGTATTCCCAATATTTCTGAAAGGTAAGAAGTAAAAGCTTACATGCTTTTACTCAGTAAGTTAGGAAAGTGACTGAGTTAAAAATTATGATAAAATATCCAACATATACACACAGACCCCATATTTTCACATTATGTCAAACAGTAATTTAATAGGACTTAATTTGGGTCTAGAATTCAGAAAGCCAAGCTTTAAAACATACTTTCTCTATAAATGCATCTTCTTTGTTACCATAGTTTTTGTGATTTCATGTTACTACTTCAATACAAATTTCATTATAAGAATCTGAATCGCAGTAGAGAATCTGGAAAAAGTTCACCAAAGTACACAAGAGGGCTGAATTGAATTATGAAATGGCTTCACTTGATAAAAGATTGCCCAAGTAAACAAACAGAGCAGAGTTCCTGTTCAAAAGGAAAGTCACTTTGTCTCCATAGAATAATATATTCATTTGTTCAGTGTTTTACATGTATAAATAAAGTAAATTACAATTAAACTTTTCCCTGAAATATTTTTTCTTAATACTTTATATTGAATACAAGTTAAACCTTAAGAAGATTAAGGTTTATCAATGTTGAGCAGTCCTTTATGGAAGAAAAAAAAAAAAGTTGAGCTTTACAAAACTGAGTTAGACTCTTTTCAAAAAAAGCAATGTTCCCTGCCAGAACAATGGTTAACAGATGAACTTTTGGGCAACTGGATATGGTGTATGTGTCCCAGACATCTTGTTTCAAGTAGATTTTACCTTAAAGTTATTGAGACATATGGTAAGTACGTTGGCTTTTTAAGTATAACTTGGAGTTCAGTGTATCTTTGCCAGATGGATAGCACTAGTTTTTCAACACAATTTTGGAAAACATTCTTCTTATAGTTATTTATCTTAGGACTTGTGAGGAAAAACAATCAACTGATTGTAACGATTTCATACATCATAAACTGCTTCATTGTATGTTATCAAAGCTTATGTCAGAAAAAAATTCACAGAATATGTATATGTGCATATGTATATATGTATATACATGTATACACACACACACACACACACACACACACAACACGTACCTAATATAAATATAAATGACCTGAGTATTCTATATAGGTATTTATAGTGTAACTTCCTTGATACTGACATTACTTCAGTTATAATCATTAGCTATATATAATCAAAAACATATGCTGCTAATTTTTTTCTATAATTTTTATTCTTTGAAGTGAGTCATCATTAAAATAATAAGACTTCTTGATGTTAAAAAATGAAGCTTCCCCCTTCTTATAGAAACGCCAAATTAAAATTGAGTAAGCAAAAAAAAAAAAAAAGAAGGAAATAAAGAAAGGAGACTTCGGGGCCCTCCCTGGAGGCACAGTGGATAAACACAGCACTGAGAAGCTAAAGCCACTTCAGCACGAGTTCGATCCCCGCCCCAGAGGTGACCCACGTGGTGTGGCAGACCTTTCTTGACCTGCCCCGCTGCTCCCCGTCCATCTGCCTGTTCTGCTCCCCACTCTATCTCTGTGAATCCTCTCACCGCCCCTGCACCTCTGGCCTGTACCCCCAGTTCTGTATGCATAGGTCCTCCCTGGTGGCACAGCGAGTTAATGCACTGCACTGAGAAACTAAAGCCACTTCTGCACGAGTTCGATCCCCGCCTGCCCTGGAGGTGACCACATGACGTGGCAGACCTCTCCTGACCCGCCCGCTGCTCCCCTCGGCAGTGTACTTCGCTGATCTGCCTGTTCTGCTCCCCACTCTGTTCATGGTGAATCCTCTCACCCTCCCCATCTCTGGCCTGTACCCCAGTTCTGTATGAATAAATAAATAAATCTTAAAAATAAATAAATAAATAAATAAATAAATAAATCTTTTTTAAAAAAGAAGGAAAGGAGACCTCTTGTCCCTCAGAGATAGGAGACACCATATTCCAGGTTCCAGAATCTGTCCTTGAGTTTCACAGGTCCAGAAACACCATTTTCCATGGTCAGACCCTCAAAGACTACCTAGAACTAACCCAACTCATTAAAGATTACATTGTGGAAAGTTTTGTTTCACTACTGTATCCCCACACCTATGACTCTCTATATATAGCATATATAGAGTTGATATGAGATAGAGGTGTGAGACAGCTAGATAGAGTAGCAGAAAGTCTATTAAATTAATGCATGTCAATTATTAATTTAATTTATTCCAGGAGCTATTCCTGTCCTTTCCCCCTAAATTCCTGTATTTACTATATATAATTTCTAGAAGGTCAAGACTTGCATTTCTGGCCAACATAAAGTTAACAGAGATAAGATTTATTCTCTGCTTGGCAGTACATGAAATGAGTAAAATATACGAAACCACTGTTTTCAAGCCATTGGACAAGGAGTGATAGAAAACAAATGGATCACCCCAGCTATACCTACTCCCTTGATGGGATGTCCAAGCCCAGGGGCAGTCAACTCCTGGGTTGAAAATGCGCTAGGAGGCTGGGGATAACGAGGCAGTTAATGTTCCCAGGACAGAGTGCTGGAAGAGAGAGAGCTGCCCAAAGAGATAGATAACTTGTAAGACCTGCAGAGAGACAGCTCAAACACTGAGCTCAGAATTGAGGAAACTAATAAGACCCGGAAAAGAGTTGTCCAAAGGATTAAGGGAATGGTACCTGGCATTCAAACAGGGCTGGGAATAGTACCTGTTCCCCCACCAGCCAAACTAGAAGAGTTCAACATCCATAGGGCATTGAGGGGAGGAGCCAAAAGGAATTTGTTCTCATCTGAGCACTGCTTAAATCCCATTTTTTAAACAAAAAACACAAGTGAATCAAGCTGTTTCCATGTAATAGAAGTGCGTTCCAGAAGAGTGTCTTGGAGGGCAATTTAGTCATTAGATCGTTTAGTGAGCCTGAATGAAACTTAGTGCTTTCTGGAGGGCTGTGTGACCTAAGCAAACTGTTCCAATGTCTCCTACCCAACCACAGCAGGGGCCTATGTAATCGATCTTCCGGCCACAGCCCCTCTTGCAGGGGTAGTCATACTACCAGTTTCTAGTTCCAATACATAGGTTATACATAGCATAAATAATTTGGATTCTAAGGTTTAGATTAGATTTCAAACTCTATTGTCAGACATTTGCATGATGTTCATAGCTTCATTACATGTTGACCCTCCTAACTTCTTTCTTAGAGTGTAACCTCATATCCTAGATGATGAAGTAATTTCTTTTATCACATCTATAGATGAACAAACTTGTGAGAAATCACTAAAATATTCCATGAAAACCATTAAGGAGTAGTATTACATAAAGAAGAATTAAAATAACAGTTAGTCTATTAATTCTCAGAATATACTTCTAGTATAATGTCTTCTAAGCTTTGAACTTGGGAAGTATCCAGGGTGATATTTGTTGAATGTATGAAGATTTTAGTAAATACCAGTTTTAAACTGTAATGATAATTTTAGTGTTTCCTTTCTTGAAATACTTTATATTCAGTAAATTGCATTTTGATTGCAAGGTGAATGAAAGCCATTTGATTTCAGTTTCAGATATTGTTTGATTGTAAGAATATGTACTACTCATTCAAAGACCTGTAGGGCTTTGTTATTCTCAGCAACCTAAGTCACTTCATTCTAGTCCTTCATCAAAACCTACTGATTAGACTGCTGATGAGACCTATTAGCTCATATTAATTTGTTCTTTAACAATTTTGTACATGTTGTAGCTGTAAAATTGTGAGAAATTAAAAGATAATTTTCATGAACACTGCTTTTTTTTTTTTTT